GAGAGAGAGAGAGAGAGAGAGAGAGAGAGAGAGAGAGAGAGAGAGAGAGAGAGAGAGAGAGAGAGAGAGAGAGAGAGAGAGAGAGAGAGCCCCGGCGAGTTTGGCCACTGGATCCTCCGGGGTTCAAGGAATAAGGTGGGATACGCGAAAAAATTAATAATTGACTTACCGTAAATAGGGAAAAAAAAAAGAAAAAAAAAAGAAGGTTGGGATGAGGCCCTTAGGCACTGCATTTCTTGGCACAGGCAAAACTCCAGGCTGAAAAACAGCTCTCAGGCCATACTCACACTAGGACTTTCCTGGATGTATCTGAAAGGACTTTCCTGGATGTATCTGACCCTAGTGCATCGGTCCTCCATTACGTCCAGAGCTTATTCAAAAAAGTCCTTTATAAATATAATATATATCGTCAAACAGAGCCGCCCGGTAAACCCGTACGCACAGAGGGAGAAGAGGACAAGAAACGAGGGGCTGTGACGAACTGTTTCGTCGGAGTTTATATATATATTATATAACATTATATTATATAATGCTGTGCTGCCTCTAGTGCCAGCGGCGTGTCTGAAGTGTATTTTTTGGCTGTGACAGACCTTTCTTTGTTTCGTGGGTGTTTTGCTGGCTTGTTGCTTGTGATGGGGTGTGAACCTTCAGCCTTCAGTCTGTAAAGTTTTCCATCTGGTGTGGGCGAGTGATAGTCTGCTTTGATTTTCTTCACAGGTACCTTGAGGGCAGTGGTTGGTTCCCACCTCAGGGTATCAACTGTGGGGCAGTCGTTGATGCTTAACCACAACCGGGGTTAAGGTGGATTATCACTTAAAGTGTAATCAGTTAGGGGATTCTGCAGACTGTTGAGGGTTCAGCCTCCTGATGAGTCCGTTGGTGAAACTCGAACGAAACAGTTTGTCGTATATATATATATAGAAACAGTTTGTCACAGCCCCTCGTTTGTTGTCCTCTTCTCCCTCTCTGCCTACGGTTTACCGGGCAGTTCTATTTGACGATATATATATAAAATATAATATGTATATCTCATCAAACAGAACTGCCCGGTAAACCATCGGCCAAGAGGGAGAAGAGGACAACAAACAAGGGGCTGTGACAAACTGTTTCGTCGGAGTTTCACCGACTCATCAGGAGGCTGAACCCTCAACAGTCTTCAGAATCCCCTAACTGATTACTCTGTAAGTGATAATCCACCTTAACCCCGGTTGTGGTAAAGCATCAACGACTGCCCAACAACTGATACCCTGAGGTGGCTACCAATCACTGCCCTCAAGGTACCTGTATATATATTAAGTCCAGGTTGTTGTAGAGGCTGGATGCTAGGCATATGACAGTTCCTTCAGTAGTTGTGCGCATAGGGTCTCGCTGCACTACTCTCCAATGTCCGAGATCGGGTCTCGCTGCACTACTCTCCAATGTCCGAGATCGGAGAGTTTCGGACATCGGAGAGTCTTTTATCGCTGCACTTACTCTCCGATCGAACCCCGAAAAAATCTCATATAGCTGTCGGAAACCACAATCGAATTGCACTCTCCGTGGTCAGAGAGTGCCCAGCCTGCAAAATCCTTTCCACGGAGAGACCTTCGACAGAAACACCACTTCGCTCCGAATTTGGAGAGTGTGCCTTGAGTCCGTAGAGTCCGAGTTTGTAGAATAAGTGCAGCCATCACCCAAAATCCGCAAAATCGGAGTCTGACAACGCTCTGCGTACGCTCCGATTTCCCAGAGAGTGGAGAGTAGTGCAGCGAGACACATATAGGGCATCACCACACTACTCTCGAAATTTGCAAAATGCGAATGAACTTCCGGCTAGAACATGGCCAGATGCACCCGCCACATTTTTGTCTACCCATATACTCTCTCATAGCCACCGGTGGTGGAGACATGTAGGGAAAAGGTAAACATGCCTCGTCCAGTTTTTGTCGTTTATTCATGAGCATCTTCTGCGCTTGGATGCTTTTTGTCGGTACTCTTTTTTTTTTTTTTTTTTTTTTTTTTTAACCTTAGCTCCATCACCGGGTCCAGCGTCCCTTGAGTACATGAATACATGAATGAAAGAACATTATGCTTGAACTATAGAGTTGGATGAGAAGTGCCTCTTCACCCCATTAGGGCGCCATATCTATCTGGTTCATTCTAGCACTCTTCCCTTCTTATCTATCTACCTAATTAACCTTTGTCGGTACTCTGACGAACAGTGATTTCCAATTTTGCACCTCTTTTTTGTTTTTCAATCATTTGCTGTGCTCTTTTCTCCATGCACTCTTCAAGTGTCTTCAAGTTCAACTTTTGTCATTCTCATGTTCTGTGTATTTTCGCTTTCATCCACAGGTTTTGTGGAGATCTCACATATGCCCTTCCTATATATGTCCTGTATTCTTTTCAGAAGTGGAGTCTCAGCACCTTTGGAGTAATCTTTGGGTTTTGCAGGTAAGGTATTGTTCCCCTTCTAATGAGAAATAATAATAAATAAAAAGACCACTTGGCCACCTTTCGACACCCCACAGTAACCCCTCCGCTTGATTTAAGTACCATCCCCAGTACAGGCCCAAATATTTACCTTCCTGTCCCTGAACTGTCCTCGTCGCGAGGAGCCCCCCTTCTCCTCATTGCCCTCAGTTCAGGACAAGACCCCTAAATGGACACCCGCATTCCCTCAAGAGCATACAGTTCCCAACTTCCCACCAATAGTACACCCCGGCAGAGCAGTGGTCCCCCCAATCCCTCCATCCCACCCTCTCCAAAGGAGACAGTCCCCGTGACACCGTTCCCTTGTCTCTTTCTGTCCCTACAGCCAAAGTCCATTCGACCCACAACTAGCCCCAGCACCAGAATAGAGCAAGCCCACACCTCCGCATCTACCCTCTCAAAGATCTACACCTCCCACTTTGTGTAGTCCTGGCAGGGCGTAGCTTCCGTCCTCTGACGGAAAGGCCCTAACCCCGAAGAAGACAATCCCGAGAAAACTGCCCGTCCAGCGCCATCCCCCACGGAGAAGCTTGGGTGTCCATGATGTAATTAAGGCTGACTTTAACAAAGCTCTGATTACAAACTCGTGAAACAAGAGTCACTGCCAAGCCACCAAGTGCGATCAGGCAACCCAGCCTAAAACTGCCTTAACCCTTATGTCCTCAGACCAGGACTCCACATAGCCCCCACCACACACGTCCTGCTGGTAGCTCACAGATGGCCACTGGAAAGCCTTCCACCCTCAACTGTTCCCCAGATCTCTCTACCAGGCATCATGCCCCCGCCTAACTCGGGTTACAGGGCAGCGTGATTTTTCGACTCTTAAACCACCAGTCCTTGGCCCAGCTATCGGTGGCCGGAAAAAATAGAGTAGAAATGCTTCTAGTCGGATGAATTTGGGTGCTCCTGTAGTGGCCTGTACGTTTCCTAAAATTGTGGCTTGTTAACCGGCACAACTTTAGGAGTACTGGTGGTTTAACTGACCAATTTTGAAAATAGTCTGTGCAGTTTGGCAGCATTTGCCAGATGATGGTCTTAGTAACAGAATTGTGCTGCCCAAAGCAGAAATCCTATTTCTTTTTCTTTCCGGAAAATTGCATCTGTACCTCACTTAAAGATGGGAATACCCGCTATACCCAGTCCCAGCTGGAACTTGCATCTATACCCGGACCCCATTCAACTTTTGCATAGTACCCAAGTTTTTTTTTTTTTTTTTTTTTTGGCGTAGTACCCAACTTTTGCCCTGTGTGAAATTGTAGGCGTACCCAGTCCCGCAGGCCCTCCATTGCAGACCAGGAAGTTATGCTCATGCCCAGAAACGCGCGGGCAAAATTGTGGGTCTACCCGCACCCAGGGGCAGGCCTTGGAAGGGGGACCACCAAATTATGCACATGCCCACCACATGGACCGTTGTGACCCAACGGCCGCTGGGTATGAGCATAATTTCAGCCATCCGGTAGTAGGGTGCATGAATAATTGGGCCGGCCCACCTCAGTCCTGTGTATGTCCGTAATTTGTGCATTTCGGTAGTTGGTTATAACTGCAACGTTGCGGTACCAATGTGGGTCCACCTCGGTCCTGGGCATGCAAATAATTTTCACTGGCCGTTTTCGTAGTATAGATGCAAGTTGGTGCTGGGACTGGATATAGCGGGTATTCCCATCTTTAAGTGGAGTACAGATGCAATTTCCCCTTTTCTTTTTCTTTTTTGGTTCGTAGAAACTTAGAAAGATGTAATAAACAGTTTGAAGACCGACAAGCGGTGCCTGCGCTTACCAGTACCACTAGCACCGGAGGGTGTTATTGAAAAAAAAAAAAAAAAAAAAAAGTTGGCCATCGTCCTCCGGATCATCCGTTAAAATGGGAACGATAGAGAGAAGATTACTGTGGCCCCTGCACAAGGAGGACACGCATAACACAACAACCGCAATAACAACAAGTTGGCCATTCCACTTTTTAGGGGGACATTTTTAGCTGTTCTCTCTCTCCTGATGCCTGCAGTTTCAGCCAACCACATGTGTTTGGCAAACAGCCACTTTTGACAAGTCATTCACTTATTGCTTTATGTATTCATTAAATTTCATTTACTAAACCAACATTTTTTATTTATTTATTTATTTTAAACAAAACACCCCCACCAGTACTAAACCACCAATTCACACCAGCCTTTTTTTTTTTTTTTTTTTTTTTTAAGTCCATGGTKTTGTAGAGGCCAGTCACTGAGTACACAGTGATCACCTGGAGCAGTAGGCCGTGGGTGTCCTGGAATATGAGACCACCTCCCATCCCATCCTCACGTCAATACTCCTAGCGCACCCCCTATCCCACTATCCTACCTCAGTGTGACCAGCACTCAGGACCATTACCCTACCAATGGGCAGGTAACTTGGACCGGACAGCAGTGATAGGCACCAGGGCTGATAGGTTGCCCAGCCCTGGTGGAAGGGGAATCGCATGAGCCTTGTCGAACGGGAACTTTGGACGCCAGGCCCACACAATCTACTACAGGCCCCAAGAGACTCTGGGCCCTAGGTTTCAGACAGGGTAGCACCCATTGAAGCAGTCTTACCGTCCTTTCCCTAGCTTACCCAAGGCCAGGCGGAACTCGGACTGGCCTGAGCGACTTATACCCCTACCTTTACCCCAGGGGCTAAGCCTTATATATAGTCACTAGACAGTTCTATTCGAATATCAGTAGGAACTCCTGTGGCCCATACCTGTCCCTACTGCAGATACTAGACCCCACCAGTGACTAGACCCCCCCAGTCTGATAGTTGTGTAGTTCGTAACCTATGTGTGTATCCGAAGACTGTATGCTTCGTGTATCTGTGTATCAAGATGTGCAGACAGCACCATATGTGGAAACTTGTGTATGTAGCCCGTAGGCCATGTATAATTCGCAAGCTGTGTATATATGCCCGAAGGCTGTGTGTGCTCTGTGAATCGATGTATCAAGATGTATAGGCAGCATCATGTGTGTATATCGAAGAGCGAACGGGGTAAGCTGGACAAGGACGCCACCAAGGTCCGAACCAAGCTTGAACCCGTGACCTTGTAACGTGTAATCGAATGACTCTACCATGTGAACGACTAGCGGAAATGGCACGAACGTGTGATATGCCAGACTGGGGAGATCAACAGAACACCCAAGACCTACACCCCCAAGCAACCCATGTGAAACCCAGAACCAACATACAAGACCATGAACAACCCTTGGGTGGTGCGCAGGCAGTGTCTGTAATAGCTAACCTTCGTCATCCCAAGGGGTGTGTGTCCAGCCGTGCGTCATTCTAACGCCCTGCTGGTGTCCATGCGCAAGGCTGCAGATTTGAACCCGCAACCTCATACCACAATGCGCATCCCCAACCGGTGCTCTAACCACTGAGCTACATCAACCGGACAAGACTGTACTACTCTAGTTGGCCCATCTGTGTAGTGCATGGAAGACATGCATGCCTTGAATGGTTATTTGTACAGCACAAGAAGTAAGCCCCAGTGCATAAGCAGGTGTGTGTGAAAGAGGGGAGAATGTGTGTGAGAGAGAGAGGGGAGAAATCATATTTCCATGTATCTGTGCAAAAGTTATGGGTGGAACATTTGTGGGGTATATGGAAGTGGCATGAAGTCTTTTAATGGCACACCCCATCCCCGGATGTAAGTAAGGCCCATGTTGGGTATATGGAAGAGGCATAAAGCCTTTAATGGCACACCACATACCCAGATGTAAGTAAGGCCCATGTTGGGTATATGGAAGTGGCATAAAGCCTTTAATGGCACACCACACCCCCACACTTCATGGCAGCTGCCGCATCGCCCCCGCCTTCTTCTTCTCCTCCTCCTCCTCCTCCTCCTCCCCGTCCTCCTCCTCTGCTTCTTCCTCCTCTTTTCTTTCCCTCCTCGACGTCCTCGTCTTCTTCCTCTTCTTGTTTGCATGCCCCTTCTGTGTTGCAATGGCGAGGCTAACACTGTCATGGTGCACCTGGATTTGCAGCAAGCCAGATGCATTTGCTGTGCCTGGATGCCACCAAATGCCCAGGTACATCCGAGATAGGTGTACTTGCTGTGCCTGGATGCAACCAGTCCCTTTCTCATCTATTTTGTTCCGACATGGCGGTTAACCTGCCGCAGAGTTGGGGGCTCCGGCCTACCAGACAGAAAAGGCTCGCGACGACAGGCAAAACGATGCAACTTTGCGCCTCCACTGTTTCCTTTCGTTTCTTTTTTTTGGCTTGCTTCAGAAATCTCGGGGGTCGGAAACACGAGGCTCGGATGGACTGGTGGTCGAACAGTTTTGACTCTTGAGGCTTTTGACAGAAGCATGTGGGGAATAGTTGATCATTAAAAAAAAAAAAAAAAAGGGGAAACTACGCGGGAGTCACAAAAATGAGTTATAATTGCACTATGGGCCAAGATCATGGCTGTGCCGGCAACCGGCCGGTTGGACCGGCCTGGATCCAACCGGGCCGGTTGGACCCCCGGTGGTCCAACCGGAATTCCGGTTGGGTCCAAAAGTGGGTCAATTTTTTTTTTTTTAATTTTTGAAAATGTGGTTGGACTGCGCTCACCGAGATCTCCCCGAATCCGCAAAGAAAACTTTGAACAGAGAAGTTTCGTTTGGGGGGTTGGGGGGTTGGGGGG